GTGTAGACATCCAGGAGGGGGATGGTATGAGGCCCAGGAGGGGGATGGTGTAGACATCCAGGAGGGGGATGGTATGAGGCCCAGGAGGGGATGGTGTAGACATCCAAGAGGGGGATGGTATGAGGCCCAGAGAGGACCAGTTTTCATTATATTACATCTGTCCACTTCCCAGCAGCTGGGAGATGAAGCACATGGCAGGTTACCTTGTCAGGGCTTATGTACCTGACAAGGTGACAGGATGAAGTCAGTTCCCACACACCTGACAGGTAAAAAGGTTAGGGTGACAGAATGGGGTTAGAGGTAACTGCCCCTGGTCAGACTAGTCTGTCTGTTCACCTGGTTGTCTGTAAGCTAAAACAATGTGTGTGTGTGTGTATGCATGATGTCATGCTCTTTTGTGCGTATGTTTATGAACATAAAATTCTCATACAATGGCTCTCTTTTTGCTCACATACTGCATAGCATTCATACCTGTAATGTGTCATTTATATCTGGCTGACATCAACTGAGTACTATAGGAATACAGATCATACCAACCAAGAACAAAAATACTGTAATACACAACCGTATGTAACAGTATGTGCCAAGTGAAGGTGTCTATGGCAGTCGCCCAACACCCGTATAGATTGCCAACTAAATAGCAAGAAGGTTGTACAAGGTGAAGGAAAATGGATTCTAGCTCCCAAAGCAAAGGTATAGCCCCTGTTACACCAGGCTTGCAGTCGCTTAAAATACAAGTTCTTCTCTGCTCTCACAAATATGCAACAGAGAAATGGCTTCAAAATGTTATAGTTCTTTTCTCTAACACGATTGTATGAATATGACGTTGACTATCAAAAATTGTCAGTTTTAACTTTGAAAAGGGTGAGAGAGGGCAAAACTCTGTTCTCCAGGTGGCTGATAGCCTGGTGTCATTTCAGGGGCTTCACTAAGGAGAAACTGAACCATGAATGTCATATCAACAGTAATTGACTCTTTTATATAAATCATATTATTCATCAGCATCTCTGCCATTGATATGATGAGCGTATATTGTGTGTGCAGACATGACGCACAAATGCGAGCACCTTCACAAACACACACACACACACACACACACACACACACACACAGCATTTCATTAAAATTCAATTCATAAAATCTGAAATTTATCATTTTTATAAGGTAATAACTGGTTTGGGCAATCTTTAATGGAAAAAAGGCTGATATATTTCAGATTCATAATTGCTGCTAGAATAATTTATGTTGTGTTCCATAATTGTGTTGTATATTAATATTACTGTTTCTGTTCAACTCATCTATTAGAGTGCTATATGACATCTCATTATTCATCAAAGCACACCTCGTAATTTTTAATACATTAAGATCACTCCCGCCTCCTCCTCCCCTTCTTCCCACACTATCAACAAAACAATTGTTCCTCAAAATCAAAGCGGTTTTGGATTGAGGATAGCATGGTTCTTTGACACATGCTACATTTGAACTCTCAGATTTGGCCTGATGGTTTTTAAAAAAATGGTTGAACGAAGCTAAAGTAACAGGCACTATCTGCTTTTACATGTACTGTAGGGACTGTGGGAAAAAAATCAATTCCTGAGGCAAGGAAATATATTGCCAATTGGCAAGCGTGAGGGTTTTTATCAGCTTTCTGTGCTCTGTTGGGAGAAGCACATTGGCTTGACAGTGGCATTTTTTTCCCAAATAATTGAAAGATATCATGGCGTCAAATTATGTAAGCCACATCAATATTATTTTTGTCATTTGGGAATGAGTTTAAACATCTGCGTTTGGGGCATAATGAACGTCGCCCCCCGCCCCCCCCCCCCCCCAATCACCTGACAATAGCAAAAAAGAGCTTCACACTAAAATATGTCATTATATTTAATCTTTAATATTTCATTCAAGCGTGGACTGCTTTGATTTTCTATTTGATGAAATAATTCATATTAAAGCCAAAATTGTGCCCCACCCCCAATCTTCACAACAAGAGTTGTTTGTCTGTTTGGATGATCAACTATGCATAATTTATAAATATTTTATACTAAACATGTGCAACTTATTTCTCTTCCACATACACACATACACAGGCGCGCACAAACACACACACACACACACACACACACACACACTTATCATATACCAAGTTGAGCAGCTAATTTTCTCATTGACATGTATAATCAAGTATAAGTAGTAGTCTTCAAAAACCATGCAATACAGCTGTTTCAATGATGCTGCTGGTATCAAAAAGGATATTTCCATTCTATAATACTTATGCATGTCCTTCTTATAGGATTCTTAAGAGTCAAACAAAACAGAGCTCGCGGTGGGCGTGGGTTCTGATTCGTCTGGCCCCCACGCCCCCGCTGGTTACTCCTCTTAGCACGATTCATCGATGCTGCCGTTGCTGCGGCCCCAAGAGCTGTGGCCCAAGCGGAACTTAGTGTCCTCTGCTGCTGCTGTTGCTGTCCTTGGGCTCCTCCTCCTTGCTGCTGTTGACCCAAACCTGGGGGGCCACCATTCCCTGGGGTGGAACTACTGAGATGTCCTCCAACGCCCCCTGCGTCCGCTCCGAGGAGGTTCTTGCCAGCGGGCGAGCTGTGGGGTTTCTGTGCACCTGGTGACCCTGTGCTGACTCTGGCTGCTGTGGGCTCAGGGCTCTCACCAGGATCATATCTCAGGCCTGGAAATAGAACACAAGTATTTAATACAACTCACAATAGTCTTATATATCCACATATGCCATAAACTTTTAAAAAGTGAACAAAACATCTTTAGTTTAATTTTTCTGGAAAAAATTCAAAACCATTTTATATTTTGATTGATTGATTGTGTACGTGCGTACATGTATGGGTGAGAGAGAGAGAGACCAGGCCTACCCAACTACCAGACTCGGCACCGAATGATCCTGAATTCACCGGTAGATCAGACCACACTACCCGTTTTCAAGGTGTGTGTCAGATTGCATTACACAGTATCATACCCTGAAGAAATTTTGAGTAGTGATGCAATGCTTTTCAACCCCGCTGAGAATCGTCACTATCACATCGCGTACTAGGCAAGAGCGGTGTCGCGTCTGATACTGTGTAATGCAATCTGACACACACCTTGAAAACGGGTAGTGTGGTCTGATTTACCGGTGAATTCAGGATCATTCGGTGGCGAGTCTGGTAGTTGGGTAGGCCTGGAGACTATTTGCGTATAGCTAAGTTAAGCAAAAATCATTATAATCATTATTATGATAAGATAAATAGGTGAATCTTAAAACCTTCCTGTTCAAATCCTAAGCCTAAGGTATGAGGTTACATGACACCTTTCCATGAGAAAGTTTTTACATAGAGTACTTCAATAAAGAGTAGTGTATCATCAACTTGTTTATGTCACTCCTTTTTTCGACAAAGCAACTCCTCAAAATGTTTTGAACTACATATTACTAAAACCTTTTTTGTCATATAGGAAATATATATTGGAATTTATAAATAAACATGGTCTGATAAAGTAAATAGAAATAAAATTAAAAACATGTCAACACATGCCTGCATCTTTCACAATTACAATAATTACTCTCTAGATTCAGACAATATTTATTAACTTTATTACCCAATGTGCTACATACAAAAGAACATGAAAAAAATTTAGAGTTTGAATCATGTGAGGAATTACGACTCAGAACAAGCCACCACTGTGTATAAAATGTTTCTAACAGGTGCCACTGTTTTCCTGTAAAATAGATTTTATGCCAGGGCACAATTCTGTCACATCCTTGTAGCATGCTGGAAACATTTCCAACAGAATAATTCTACTGTAGGTTGTCGCAAATGTGGAAATGTGTAATATTTCATACTGTGTGTGTCATTGCGAACCATCAGAAATCACGAAGAAATATAATTTGGTAACTTTTACAACCTAACTTTTGGTAATAGTCACTGATATACATATATACACATAGCATGCAGGTAATGTCTCATTGTTTACTGACACCATCGAATATATATACATATATCAATAGCTCAACATGACCTACACTCAATAATTCCAGAATCCGCAGTAATAATCATTAAGTGGTAACATACACATGCATGCAGATATGAAATTAACAGTATAATTACAACCATATTATCATCACCAGCTCATCCAATGGTTAATTAATCACTCAAACTTCTTATTTCTATGAATTATATATAAACCTAGCATATTGAACTGGTCAGGAAAGGTTATTTCAGGACAATACGTGAGGATATGCAAAAGGCACTACAAATTGACATACCCACTGGGTTTGGACTGGCATGTTCTTAATTTTCTTTTTTTTTTCTCTTGTAAGATTTTTTGCCCAAATCAATCACATTTGTAAAACAGTCAAATGATCTACTAAGTAGCAGTAAACAAAAAAACTAAAAGAGAAATGAAAATAAATCGCCTCATTTCCTCTGCTTATCACTACTTCTTCTCAATTTATATCTTTTAGCATATATTTCAACCAAATAAAAAAATTAGCAACAACAATGATAAATTGATGCAAACCCTTTATATATATTCCTTTTTTCCTTTTTCACAATGATTTATTTGCCTCAGCCGGTACATATGCCTCTTGCAAGCATCAGTATTTTGTTTTTCCAGAAGAAACTACTAGTATACTGAACAATATTCTTAACATTTATAAATACCAATATCTTATGGATAGACAAGAAAATAAAACTGATCTGTGTGTTTTTATAATACTACGAATTATGTCAACCTTGGGAGTCACTTTTAATACATGTATATATTTATATATATATATCAAAATGAGAAAGAACCCTCCCTATTCACCAGCAATACCAGCTAGCAATTAATAAGTACTAATAACTACTCGTATCAGTATATCAAAGGCCTACGATTTGGTTAGCCAAAATGAACAGAGAGAAAAATCCAGCTTGTGCTAAATAACCTTACTTTTATATGATCCAATTACCAAGATAATGGACATTTTTGCTCAAGATGGAAGACTGTTATGGATAAAAGTATGCCGCCTTGATAAAAATTTCTTGTCTATTATACTGAATTAAATTCACACTTTCTGTATTTATATCAGCTATTAAAAACAATTTCAGTTTTGAAAACTTACTGTTATTACCTTAAGAGCCTAATGAACATGTTACAAGCATATTAGTTTCAGACAATGACTCATTCCAAGAACAAGCAATTATAACACCTCAGATCTGTCAACAAACTATACATTAGCCATATAGACTATTGTCAGCATCGCCTTGATTAAATCCACCCACTTTGCTTACATCAAACCTTATCCTTGATTTTACAGCGATTCATCAAAAAACCATCAGGTTTATGTCCACGAACCTTCTGATTTGTCTCTTTAAAATTTTGTGCTGGTTAATCAATATATGTATGCCAGTCAGGACACGTCTGGTAATTATTATTATTATTATTATTATTATTATTATTATTATTATTGTATGGATGCATAAAGAGGCAGAAAATACTTTTTTGTTCTATGTATATCTGTATCATACTATGCAATAACAATAATTAGGCTTTTTATATCAAAATGAGAATTTACAACATGATAACAACATGCAATATTCCAGATTACAATCTTTGCTAATGTTACATCTTTGTAATATGGTCTCACATTTGTATAAAATATATATGCCATAAAACCCTTTCAACATATTGTTAATCAAATTTTAAAATAAAGACTGAAGTATTTCTAATACAACCGCATATTTATACTAATAAGCTTGATCTTTTGGAGTAACCCCCCCTCGCCCTTCCTCAAAAGAAAACCTGCATATTTCATATAGACTACATAACCTGATGTCCTATTAAAAATGTAAAAATATGTCATGTAATCAATTACTTTTGAGTGCCACCAACTTCTCTGTGTGCACTCTCTATGCTACTAGGAATAAAATATTACATTAAGTATGACATGACACACCTTTGTGCATATTTTACCTCACAAAACTGGGTCCTGGTTCTGCTTCAGAGACACCATTGTTCTTTCTGAAAGCTCACTTAATACCAGATAATTATACCCATCTATCAAATTATGAACAAATGACATGAAACTGCTGTTATAATCTCCATTCATAACTTTAAGGACATTGTAACCCTTTACTATCATCTAGATACCGAAAATGAGTTTTTTCCTGCATCTAATTATTCAATAATGTATCTATCTTTGTGCTGATTTAAAACATGAAAAAACCCTCGAAAATATAAAATATTGGTGTTTGTATTTTTTTTTTTTTTTTTTTTTGCAATGTATAAGCATAGGCAACTCAAAGTTTTAATCGTCAATTTAACCCCTTTCTATTTTGAAGTGAGATAGCAATCGGTATTGGGCATAGCTTTATCCCTGAAGAAGATTTTATCAGGAAAATTGGCCGAGTTGACCACGAATATATATATAAGCTACAATCCAGTGACGTCATTTTGGTTTAAATAATTTTGTTATGGAGTTATGAGCCCCTAATTAGAGATTTTCATTAAACAAAGGCATTATTTTGCTTTATCAATGATAAAATATAAACTAAGACTTTTAAGAAAAAAACGCTGGCAGGGTCTTGGGAGTACTTAATGGTGTCATTAAATCGGCATTGAAACGGGGATCGTGGGTGCTCAGGTAAAAGAGAAATTTGAGAAACCAATTTTTCAGTTTTTATCCAAAAATGGCAATTTTAACGTCACCTGTAAGAAGAACATGTGTAAATGTTTATTAAGTTAGTCACTAAACACTGAAGATTTATTACCCTAAAGAATGTATGTAAGGCAGCAAATAAGAAGTTATGAGCGAATGGTGACAATATCCTTAAATCCTATTGCTTGGTCTATATCCAATCATTTCTGTTTCAATGGAAAATTCATAACAGACTTAATATGGAAAAACTAACATATTAAACCCAATATATATAAATATATATGGATATTTTTTCATTATTCTTTCACTATTCTCAGAAGCAGAAGAGTGTGGACTTCCATCTAAGTAACCTTAGTAAAGAGAGTGTAAACAATCCACTTTACACATCTGCACGTTTTATGCATTGTTGTCCATTAATCCTGCATTTTCAAATGCTTTTCTACTGTTCACACCATCATAAATAACAGATCTATGCACTTTGAATAATCAAACATTTTTTCACCCTGATAATCCACACAAAAATCAACCTTTCTGATACAGCTCAACTTGGTCAATGCACAAGTTTTGAATGATCCATAGCTATACAATGCATAGATATTGTAAAAAGCTATGGTTGATCTAACTGAGTAAGTAAATATCATTAAGAATATATTCTAATGTTAATCCTGTATAGCTCTGGCAATGGACTGATGTGTTGTAATATGGTCTCAGTATGTCTTACAAATCAGATTACACTGGGGGATCACTGATGTCCCAGATTACACTGGGGGGATCACTGATGTCCCAGATTACACTGGGGGATCATGGATGTCCCAGATTACACTGGGGGGATCACAGATGTCCCACATTACACTAGGGGGATCACAGATGTCCCAGACTACACTGGGGAGAACAGATATCCCAGATTACACTGGGGGGATCACTGATGTCCCAGATTACACTGGGGGATCATGGATGTCCCGGATTACACTGGGGGATCATGGAGGTCCCGGATTACACTTGGGGATCATGGATGTCCCAGATTACACTGGGGGATCACTGAT